ATGTAAGGAATTATTGTCGACATAGTAAACTCACACTTAAAAGACTGACTAGCTGCCGTATCTGGACATTGCGACAAGGCCATTGTGTGCTCAATGAGCTGGCAACCTCTTTTGATAGCATGGGCGGCCCAGTCGGCTTGTTTCCGATCTTGTAGGCTAGATTGGTGGCTAAAGCAATTTGCGGCATCTTGCTGAAGCTCCGAAGGGCGGCTCCTTTGGCAGGCACGTGATCACGCGTCGCGGTGCAAATTTCGCGACGAAAACTGAAGGAAGTACGAAGGAAGTACAAAAATAAAGAACATATGGAAATCTACTAGGGTTTGAAGCGGAGGAAATTGTATGAAAAGTTAATTCAGCTTTCCATTGCTAAAATACATGCAAAAAGTGTGTGCAGGGTCATGCATGATGACGGAGATATGGCCCAAGGACCAAATGGCACCTATCATCAATCTCAAGAAGCAGCAAGCTGGCCGGAAAATAACCAAGGTCGTCAATGGATAAAGGCTCCAGAGCCATTGTAATATCCAGCTCAGCCCAGCCTGCATGCAAACAATGAACCAATGGAAGGAACAGGCACAACACAAAACGCAGTTCGAAAAAAGCAAGGCGCAAAAAGTACAACGTTGAATGGGTAAAAATAAAAGTTGAAAATCACAATGGGGAAGCGAAAAAGGAAAAAAAAAGAAAGAAAGAAACAAAAACAGCTCAAGCTGGACGAACCAGTCCTCAAATCAAGGCAATAGACCAGATTGTTCAAGGAACGATCCAAAACCATCACCGGATACCCTCAAGACCTAGGCATGCAAGGCATTTGGGAAGGAAAGCCAGGGGGGAAAGGGAAAAACAAGGAATACAAGATGTTGGGAAACAAAGGGAGCAGAGGAACATGGTTCCAACGAAGTCTGCATCATGCACGGGTCGCTTCATGAAAGGTATGCAGTATGCAACATGGGCCAAATGCAACGATCATGGCACATTGCTTCAAAGGTGTATGCAGTAAAACGCAACTGTGGTAAATCATGGGATAAATGATCACGGCATGTGCAGTTGATGTAGGCCCAGTTCGATGACAGTGTAAAAAGTAACCGTAAAATCGTGAAAGAAAAAGAAAAGTTTCGTCGCATCGTCTCACTATGAGTACACTGGGGTTGTGAAAGACAAGCACTGATGTGGGTGTCCCAATCCCAATCAGAAGTAGTTCTGGATTTGCTGCGGTCCAAGCTTCGTGGACAGCTGAGGGGTGGACGCAGTATAAACAGACGAGGTGTCACTTTGTCCGGAAGGAGTGTTGGAGGCAGAGCTCTGGGATGAGTGAGGTACATAAGTTTGGCTGCTGTATCCCCCAGATGAGCTTGAAGACTGAGTACTCTGGGTACCAGGCTGATGGTATATGAATGGCTTCTGCAGCAAGGTCTTGGGGATCTGTGCAGTGGTGCTCATCTCATTGGGGGTGGCCTGGCCGCTGGTAGTAGCGCTGCTACCATTACTGCGGCTATTGGTATCCGCAGCCATGATCTTGCCAGCAATACGACGACCATGAGGAGTCTGACGGATAGATGGAAGAATAGGACGAACAGCCTCCACAATGCGGTTGCGAGTTTCGAGATCACAGAAGTCCATGGCAGTCTGAACAACATAGTTCGCAAATGAATCACGCAGCATCTTTTCAAGCTCATTGCCCATCAGGAATTCATCAATCATCTCACGCTTCATGTAGTTATCAGCAGTCCGGAGGCACTTCTCGATGACATTAGAGCTGAACTTTTGCTTGGAAAGCTGAGGAATATTGCCTCCAAAGGTAGCACACAGCGGGTTGGTGAAGCTAGGCTCCGCAAGGTCCAGAATGTATTGCACAACATAATTTCCGAAGGGATCCTGAACCAAAGCGAACGAGTGCGAGGTAATCTGTGAAATCAGACGAGCCTTCTGATGACCCGAAGCATGATCAATGCAACGCTGAAGGACACAACATCCATGGCGATGAGTACCAACAACCACACAATTGCCTCCGACAGCTTCGTAGATAAACTCGGCATCCTCAGGAGTGAGGCGGTTGAGGCATTTTTGGATAACGTGGTTGCCATTCAAATCTTGCACCAGGTCGACGACATGATACTGCAACGCATTGATGACTGTCTGAGTCTGCTGGGGGGTCGAGATGAATTCAATCATCTTCTGCAGTGCACGAGTTCCATGCTGATTCAGGGCAATCTTGACCAACTCAGGCGCAGCATTATCAATCAAAGCAGTACGTTGTTCGTCGTTGGAGTATTCTAGCAGCTTCTGGCAAAGATAATTTCCAAACGGATCTGTTCAAGGAGAAAGGTTAGTAATGCCAGTGGGGTCAAATGGCAGGAGGTGCGTGGTTCATACCGGTCATGAGCTCAATAACATGCATGTAAGTCTCACTGAAAATCAGCTGCACGTGTTCCGGGTTACGCTCCTCCAACTTGCGCTGCAAGTATCGGCAACCGTGCTGGTCCTTGCACAGGCTGTACAACTCACCCTTGTAATGCTCCAAAGGGTAGTTGCCGAAACGAGTGAGCTGGGTTGCGTCATTCTCCTGGCGACGCTGAGCCATGTTACCTCGGGCTGCAGGTTCATTAAAGCGGAAGCCAGTACCATAACCGGGATAGGCATTGTTGTAGGCGGGAGCTCCTCCGAAGTTTGGCGTATGACCGTTGATCGGGGTTGCTTGGCCGACATAGGGCGGGATTCCATAATTGAAAGCAGGAACCGCAGGGACTTGGAATGGCAAACCCATTTGAACAACCGAACCAGGAACGTGGGTGGTAGATACAGCCGAAGCGAGTTGAGGCCCGAAAGGTGGAGCGCTCGCGTGTAAAGTCGATTGATTACCATAGAACTCCGTCTCATCGAACTCGGCCTTAACCTGGTTGTTCACACCGCTCTGGGGAATGCGTCCCATGCTTGTATTGTGGTGATGCATGTGCTCATTGTGAATCTTGGGAGGAGTGATAGCGTTGCCAGCTCCATTTCCCTTGACAGTAGGCAGATCACTAGTGGAGTATGATGACTGCAGAGCATTGGGCCGGCTCGAGGCAACAGGAGTTGCTACCTCATCGTGGCGGTCATCGTGGCGGTCGTCGTGGAAGGTAATCTGGCTTCCCATGGAACGACGAGCACCGTGGCGTGAGGTGTGGATAGAGTTGCTGTGATCCTCAATGTTCTGGCTTCCCAGATGCTCCAACCGCCCAAAGTTGTGAATGTTCTGCGGCATGCTCTGGTGAGACGACCGGTGCCGACTGTGGTTGGAATAATTTTCGGAGCCTGGGGCACGAGGGTTGGCGAGATCATGGGCATCAGGGTTCGCCGACAACTAATCAATTGATTAGGTTCCAGAATGTTGTGTGCAATTGCAGGAAACTTACCATGTTGGAGTCACCACGACGGGACAGGGTTGGGAACTTGTCATCAGGCTCGGTCAACTTGATGTAACTCTTGATGTCAGGAGTCGACAGGCGTTCCAGCTCTCTCAGATGACTATGGGGCTTGTCTTCGTCGCTGGGGAAAAGATACTTCGGGACATTGAACGTGTCAAGACGTGATCCATTCAAGCCGGAGATGCTGGACCGATGAGACTGGCCATTCGGGTTGCCGGAGGGCAGCGAGTATCGGTGAGCAGCACTAAATAAATATTAGCTAGGCCCTTGATACTACAACTCGAAACATGGGCTTCCACTCACGATGGGCCCGATCGGAAGGGAGAAGTAGGATCGGCAAGGAAGTCGTCCTTCTCGGAGTTTCGGCGTGAACCAGGAACAGAGTGTCCGGTAAATCGGTCAATCGACGGCTGAGCGGGCTGGGAAACAGCCTGGGGCGAAGTCAAGGTTGAGGGAGCAAAGGCATTGAAAAAGCCAGGCGAAGAGGTCACGCTTGAGGTGGAGAAACGAGCAGGGCGGCCAAAGGCACTCGACACAGTAGTATCACGGTACTCAGGCGGGGTGGTTGGCTCACTGACTGGGCCAGAGATGCCAGCCTGAGCCAAGTCCCGCGCGAGCTGGTCCATCTCCAATTTCTCGCGAGCGTGCTGAAGATCCAGGATTTTCATATCCTCTTCGAAGCGGCGTTTCTGTTCACGCATGTACTCGATGTGCTGTCTCTTTTTCTCAAACTGCTGAAGAGGTCAGATATGATTCCCAGAATGATGGCGTTCAAGCAAAAGAGTGGGGAAGTTTGGGAAAGATATCAGTTTGAACGAAGTGAGAGTAAAGTAGAATTCTCGACAACTCGATCGACAAAACTTGTCAGAGTTGCACGAGACAGCCTCCGGGAAGACACTTAAAGGGCACAAAATAAGAAACAGATATCTTCATCGACCCCCGGTACAATCACTTGCATGAGGAACACCAACCGAACGAACGATGTTAAGTCGAAAAGAAAGGGAATGTGACGCGTAATCAACGGCAAGTAGAGCAGATCCACTAGCACAGGCAGCGAACTTGTTCGAATCGCAAGGTATGAGACAGATGGGGAATTTGTGAAGCAGCAAATAAAAGAAGAAAATGGGAAGCGCCAAGTTGTAGTTTTTATACCAACCCGGACGGGATTGCAGCCTAGCAGGCAAGAATCGATTTGGAAGTCTGAATAGGCTCAGAATGGACGGAGTTGACCACCAATAGGCGTCAATCACGCCAATAACTTCGGCGAGTTTTCTTGACTGATGAAATAGGAAGGGGGTTGATGAATATAGAACAATGGGGCAATTGAATGAGGGAGATAAGAATGATAGAAATTATGAATAGCGGTGGATGAATAGCGGTGGTTGAATGGGCGGGAGGTGAATGGCGATGAATGGTGACAGGTTCGTCAACTTGAAGCTGCACACAGGTGGTGTGATATGGCAGAAGCTGACGGAACCTTCAGAGGCCTCTATGATTTTAAAGGATCTTGCAGAGGCTGAACAACCAGGACACCAATCCAAACAACCCCGCTCATCACCGACCAACATTCAATGGAAACGAGACGGGTACGCAGTTTCAATGTACAGGGATAATTGCTAACTCAAAAGGAAATTTCGATCTTACCGAAGACAACAAATCCACCGGATCTTGCATCTGGCCCGAACCAGAGCTCGAGCCAGATCCCGAGCTTGGATTCAAATAATTCCATGACGAGAACTTGCTCGAATCAGTCGTGAATCGACGTTGCAGGTTTGCTCGAACATCGCCAGCTGGGCGAGAAGAGAATCCCGATCCAAAGTTCGAATGACCCGGGGAAAGAGAAGTGTACCCAGGGAACGCAGATTCCGAAGGCGGGGATCGTGGGGATGGGAATCGCAGCTCGTCGAGGCGTTCGCTCAGCCCGTGCTTGAAGGCCATCGTGGGCAGGCCGAATTGTTCAACTATACACCAAAGAACAACGTTCCGGTCAGCAAATATAAGATTTGTTGACGCCAAAAACGGGGTTTTAGGGAAGCTTCTCTCCGGGGAAGCAATTACGACCAGCCCCAGATATTGTGACGCGACGTCCTCCGGTGGCTGAGGAAATATCCGAATGGGAGGAAGGGTGGGCTGGCGGTGTGTGTGTCGTCGGCGTTTCAAGCAAGGGGAAATCGGAGAGAGGGGCTGAGGGGTTGACGACGATCTGCGCTCGCGAAAAGGGCCTAACTCACACAATGAACGCCTCGAGAGGAGTCAAATCTGGTTGATGGGAGAAGTGCTATATGATTTCAAGCTTCACAAGTCATCTATGGACAATTTTGACAGGAAATATCGCGTGTACCTGACGGTGCGGAGATCAGCAGGGAGTTGCAGAGTGGGATAAAGCTCCTCTTACCGCTCCGACTCAGCGAACACCGAGGGATCGAGGCGCGGACGAAATGAGCGTGTCGCGCAGGGAAATACAACCTAACAATGACCCAAACGAACGATACAAAACTGTTGTACAAAAAGGGAGTTGCAAAG